GGAATGCCCTGAGGCCACTCAGGAGAACCCCCGAATTCCATAGAGCACAATTTAGAAACCACTAGGTAGTGAGACACCTCCCAACTGTGAAGCATTTTCAGCAGGCTAGACTAGGATATGCTGGGATAGGCACCATGTGTCTGTCAGAGGCTTGGGTGCGGTGGTCCGGAAAGACAATGGAGAGCATTGAACTCTCCCGGAGGATGCTGGCCTGAGAGAGCAGAGAGTTCCAGGCAGAGATTTCAGGGGTGAGGCATACACAAGTCACCTACGGAGAATAAACCCAACTAGATCCAAGGATTTAAGTTGGGAAAAGGTAGAAAATAAGTCTTAGAAAGGGTGGCTAGGACCTTGAATGTCAACGTAAGCCAGCATTCCCAAATAGATATTCAAAGAACCCTAGTCCCGCAAAATATCCCTGGAGAGGTGGGGAAGGGAAGGAGGGTACATGGGCAAAGAAAAACAGAATATGCTCCCCTTCGAAGGGTCACGGTCCACAATAACATATTAAATAGTCTGCGGAGTCCTATTTAATTTTATTAATCCTTCATCTCCTGACTAGCATGACCACAGAACTCATATTTTCCTCTGTAATACCTATTAACATCCCTTAGAGTTAGTATTTTATGGAACACATTTTAGGAAATAATACGTAGACTCTGAGGGAACCGTTCTTGTATGATGTGAATGAATCTTAGACATCTTACACTTGCCAGTTTACGATTAACAAAGGACTTGGACTTCTCTTTAGTTTTCTTTTCATAGTTGTAATTTTAAGGTCCAAAAGTGCAAAGAAGGAACAGGGCGAGTCGTGATGTGGCGGATGGGAATCCTAAACAGCTATACCATGGAGTCTACCTTCGGCGGCTCCACCCTGGGTAAGCTCTCTTCTGTAAATCATAGGTCAGCATGGCAAGGGGAAGCCAAGCCAAGCACTGGGGAGATGAAATCCCTTTAAATGTTGAGGAGAGAATTGATCTAGGGGATTTTCTTGTCTGTGTCTGATGCTGATTTGCGTACCCAAAAATAGGAGTGTGAAGTATACTCGGTGGGTCAGTATAGCATAGTGTTTGCTGAGGACCTGGAATCAGGCAGATCTGGGTTTGAATTTCAGCTCCATTTACAAGTTGTATGATCCTGGGTAAGTTATTTAACTCTTTGAACCTCATTTTTCCTTAACTGTCAATAATAATAGTACCTGCATTATAGGTACTACTTAATGAGATTGTATTTACCACACAGTAAAACTTTATAATTATAACTCCATCATTATAGCCATCATGATTGTAAACTTTGTCATTGTCCAAGATTCTTCTGAACCAAACTATAACTAGGAGAGAGACCCTGTCCAGAAGCATAATATTCTAGAGTCAGAGGTGGTATTTTTAATGAGATTTTCATGAATTAGATTTGTATTTCCTCATTAAGATTTAACAGGAAATGTATATGGATTTTTTTTCCAGGCAATAAAAAAGACACTCACTTTACCACTGAGGATCTGAAGTCCCTAGGTTATCATGTCTGTGACACCCTTCTGGATTTCTGTGATCCTGACCGAACCAAGGTAAAGATGGGGTTTCAAGAAGTGTAGTGATGCTACTGTGATCAGTTTCACATGACTCCAAAGTCAGCTCAGTGGGATTACAGGTGATCTTAATTTTCCTCTTAATATTTTTCTAACGTGTTTATAATCAGAGGAAATAAGAAAGCCCCCAGCCTGCACACTCTCAGCAAATGATAAGACCTCATAATTCACCAAGAAGATAGAGACCATCATGCCAGCTTCCCTCGAGCACACCTCTCCCTCGCTTCTAGACTTAGCCATGGCAGCACCAATTCTTACTTCCTTTTCTCCTGTTTCAGAAAATCAGGTGTCCTTTCTCTTTTCCAAAACTCACCCTGCCCTTTGTGCACTTGTCAACCTCCCTATGGCCTCCCTGAGGTCTTGCCTCATTAATAACCTCCTTTCTTTTCTATGTCCTCAATTTTTCCCTCTTTTTACTTCTTCCTCTTATCTTCTTCCCCTTAACTGTTCTCAAGCTGCTTCTGTCCTAAATCACAGACAGGTTTTCTTTGGTCTCTTTTCTCCAGCAGGTTATTTCTAGTTCCCTTCACTCAGTGTCTTAAAAAGAAGTCTGTACCCATGGTCTCTAACTCATCTCTCAGACTCGCTCTGAAATGTCAGCCCTGGGAACACATGATATGCCCCACTCTGGATGCAGCTGTTCAATAAAAAATATTTAAAGGAGGCTTTGACCACAACATGGCCTGTTAAATCATATTTGCCATAGGCCAAAATCTGACCAGCCCCATTTTAACTTTTCCTTCCTTACAACTCAAAAAAATAAAACCAGACGTTTGCATTGCCTAAGAAATTTATTATTGGCTATAGCCAGGAAAAAGTGGCTAAAGCAGTTCTCACTGGTGTTCTGCCCTAAAATCACTTGCATTTGTTCTTACAGCTCATGTACTTTATTCGTTAAATGTCCTTAATAGCAGATTACAGTTTACTCATCTTTACGTCTCCAGTAATAAAGTGCCTTTCGGCATACACCTAGTAAATATTTGATGAATAAATAAATGAGTCATCAAAAATAGTTCTTTTTACTTCCGCAGTTCACACAGTGTCTAGAAGAGCTTAAGGAGCTCTTACAACAGGAAATCCATAAGAAGTTCTATGAACTTGGACAAGATATGGATTTAGAAGGAAGTTGGAACGATATCTCTTTGTCTGACATTGAATCCAGGTAACAAACTGCATTTCAAAGAAAAACCAGAGAAGTTCTATTTTTTAATTGTTTTATTTGCTCTGTTGTTTTGTTTTGAACCTCAGATGTGAAATACTGAGTAAATCATGGCACACTAATTACACGTCATTCCTTCAACAGCTATGGATTGAGTACCCGTTCTTTGACAACCTGTTTTCTAGGTACCAGAAAGGTTAGGGAGATGGGCAGGCAGTTGATGTAGGGCCTCTGTGATCTCCCTCACATGCTGCTATAGCTAAACTGGCCTCCCCACTCTTCCTCAGACTTGTCAGGTCCTCTTCTGCATCATGGCCTTTGCACTGGCATTTCCAGCTGCTTGAACTCTCCCTGCAGATGTCTACGTGGCTAATTCCTTCTCCTCCTTAAAGCCTTTGCCTAAATGTTAACTTTTTCAATGTGGCCTACCCTCATTACTCTACTACTGCAACGTGCTCCCCTGCCTTCACCCTCCTGCCATTCCCTACCCTCCTTAGGTGTTCCAATTTTTTCCATAGTATTTTATCACCTTCTGTCTTTCTATATCATTTACAGCTTTATTATGTCTATTATTTATTATCTGTCTCCCGCTACTAGGATATAGGCTCCACAAGGTCAGCGATCTTTATTTTGTTCACCTTTATATCTTGTGCATCTAGAACAGTACCTGATGCATGGAGAGAGTTCAATAAATATTTGTCGAATTAAGTGAGTATGTGGGATCACAGCCCCATCCTCATAGTCTCCACAGCTATTTTAAGAAGCTCCCATGGGGCGAGTGTCTCACTGTGTGCAAGAATACCTCCTTCTCCAGCTTACTGGCCAAGGCACCTCAAGCCTGAACCAGCTGCCCTCTGTCAGAAGGTTTCTGGCCTGGGCATGAAGGTCTTCTGCCTGAGGCCACACTGTAGTCTCTGGTGGACAGTGGGAAGCAGATGGCTCTCTCACTCACTCCATGTGACACATTGACATCTGGACCCTGAAGCAGTTCTGCTGGCTGAGGCTCCCAATAGTCTCCTTAGGAACCTTAAACCAGACCATTGGGCCAGGTAGAGTGTCCCATTCACCATGTTTCCTCTTCCACTCTCCCAGATTCCTTTGCCCAACTCTCCAGGACCGCTGCACCCACCCCTCTTTGCTTTCAGCCTCAAAAGCAAATATTTCCTGCATATCAACTCATAGAGCCCAGGGGGAGTCGACTCAGAAACAGCCAGACTGAATTCTAGCTAGCTCAGCAGGGATACTCTGACACCTTTAGTTAAGAACGGCTGAACCGAGTTTGCCAGCCACTGCCTCCCAAGCTTCTGCCTCGGGAAGCCGGCTATCACCAGCCTCCACAGGGCGCCACCTTTCCACTCTCACCATTACACAGAAAAGCGGATGGCGAGTGTGCAAGCCCAGTTTGACTCTGCTGTCTGCGTGTGCAACATTTCTGGGGCATTCTGCATCTAATGCTTTTATCCCATTTGTTTTATTTCTGAAAGAGACTTCAGAGACTATTATTATCCAGTGGCCTCAAAGGCCACTCCTTAGACTGGAAAAGCCTTGCGAGAATAGGGAATTGGGAATTAGATCAGAGAGGGGAGAGCTTTCTTCCCGCTCTCTTGCTGTGGGGCTCCTCCCTGTGCACGGAAGGGAGGGAGAGGGCGCGTGACTAGAAAGAAAGAGCCTAGCAGAGGAGCGGTTTGAAATGCTGTCTTTTCCTAAATTTGAGTTCTGTGCCTAAGACATTTTTTCCTGTCTGGAGCCATGTCATAGCGCACAGCTCTCAGTTCTGGCCAGCCATACCCCAGGAAAGGGGAAAATAGAGTGTGACATAGGATGAAGGAAGGAAAGATGGATTATCGGCATCCTCATTCCTCCTAGCCCTTGGAGAAACGGAGAGGGGACAGTCTGCGGGGAAGACCTTAAATCAGTCTAGTCACGCACCCAAAACTTTTGAAGGGGGAATTGGGGTGATAAAAGTAATATTTCTAGTCTCTGACCTACAGATTCTTTGTTATTAAATATATTTGTTTACTATATATTGAACACATTTTGAAAGAGTACCTGGTAGAAACCTTGCTCTCTGAACTGGTACTGGCCAGACAGGAACGAACGAGATAAAGCCCCTGCTTTCAAACAAATCACAGTTCCCTGGTATTCTGTAGCGCTGCACAATAAGAATCCTGCAACCTCTTGCAGTTGCTGCCAAGGCCAGCTCCCCCATCCGGCCAGTATTTATTTTGCCACACTAATGGCAAGCTCTTTAGGGCAGGGTCTCTGTCATGGCCGTCTCTGTTCCCTGTGCCTGATGCACTGCCTGGAATGCAGTAGGCATTCCGAATGAATGAATGAATGAATGAATGAATGCACTCATCAAGAATTCTTCATAATCGAAACACAGACAGTGCGGGCAAGTAGAAGACTAGATAGATAGCTGAATCCCATGCGGCTGGTCTGGTAAATGTTACACTTCTGACATTAATAACAGATATTTCCCTTTCTTCTCTCCCTTTGAAAACAGCACCAGTGGTTCTGACAGCTCCCTCTCAGATGGTCTCCCTGTTCATCTCCTGAACATAGCAGATGAGGTAAGGTTATATAGACTCTTACACCCAGGAGGTAGCAGCCTCAAAAAAAGCATGACACTACTGGGTAATTTGGTGGAATTTTCCAACTGTCCTAAGATCTGCAGAAAATACAGCCATGGCACCCTAACTGGTTACCCTGCCCTGGAGTCTTTCATTTTGTCCTTTATAACTTTTGTTTTACAAATCTAGAGGATAAAAAAAAAATGTGAGGACTCCATATTTATTCCAAAGTTAACTGAAAGTAAAAAAAAAAAAAGTTTAAAAGTGAAAACCATGTTAACAGATAGAGGTTTTTAAAAATGACACCTACTTTTTTTAAAAAGCATTTCTTTATTCATATAGTCTTAGATAGTTTTTTATACTTCCGTATATTAAGAATTTTTTTGCCCCATCTGTTCACAGACTTTTTCTCACATGAATACTGCAAGAGCTTTAGAAACAACAGAGTATTCTGTTATGGTTCATTATGCACATGATTTCCTAGTTGCATTAAGAAGTAACTCCATCATAGAATGAAATTAAGGCTGTGTCAGGAGGAGCCAGTCAAATTAGACTGGACCCTACACTTTCTTTGGCTAGATTTACAGCAACATCAGATTAAGCTTCACCTTACCACAGGTACCTAGATAATGAGTCCTGAGCTTCATTTACTTAATTATTAAAGTCACCTTGTAGTAAATGAATTTTTAACCACACATCTAATAATCATTATCATCTGTACCTGTCATTATTGCCATAAGAATCCGGTTTTATATCATAAATCACAGATATTTGGTATATCTGTGGCAGTTTATCTATAATAGTGTAATTCTGGGGTGTTAACTAGGGAGCAGCCTCTGGTAAGAAGGTAACTCAACTGTTCTTCAAATCAACAACCACTTAACACTGTGAGGGCCTCATACTGTAATCATTGCTTGTTGAGCGCTGTGTGAAGGGAGTGCTACATGCAGGTGGGGGTTCCCCTGGAATCCTCAATGACTAGTTTCTCTCTACCTTCTGGAATAGTTGAATAAGAAGAAGATGCATAAGAAGAAAAAACAGAAGCCACTTCAGACTAGGAAACAGCGAAACGAACAGTATCAGAGAAATAATTTGATACGGGAGTTAAAGTCAACGGAAGATACCCCAGTAAGAAAGCTCTGCTGCCTTCCACTGTCTGGTGAAAGCGTGCTCCACGGAGGGAGCAGGACAGGGGTTAAGGTTTACTCTAAACCGGAAAGGGAGTGGGGAGCGGGTCAGGGGGAAGCTTGCTGTTTTGAGCTCAGAGCTCTTCCGTGAGTCCTCTGGACATCTCTGAGCAGCGTCCGGTCTTGGCCCGCTATGCTCTGGCGTAGTAAGTCTAGATCTCGACCGAGTCTGGATTTCCACAGGGAAGAGGTGGTTCTGGCTGGAAAAGTGGTGGCTGGAACTAGTGCAGAGTTGCTGGGTGCTGAAGGATCAGGCCTAGTCCTCTTTAATCTTCCTTTTTTGCTGCCAACTTTCTAAAGGTGAAACTGCTTTCAGACGTGTGGGTTTTACTGTTGGGTAAATTGGGTCGATTGTAAGTCAGTTAATTGCAACTGATCAATTGAAAAACGTTCTCTTTGCACTCCATCCTTCTAGGAAAGGGCAGGATTTGCTTCCACTCTGCAAAAGCAGCCGACCTTTTTCAAAACTTCAGAGAATACCAGTTCTTCAACAATAAAAAATGAAAAACCAAGGATGAATGAGGTAGTATTTTTGCTTAACTTTTTTTAACTCCTCAATGGAAAATGTATTAAAACTTTTCTTTGTATTATATTTAAAGTATACATGATGATTCGATATACATATACATTGTGAAAGGATGCCCACCATTGAGTTAATTAACACATTCATTACCTCACATATTTACCTTTTTTTTTTTCTTTTGGTGGGAACACTTAAGTTCTACTCTTAGCAGATTTCGATTATGCAGTACAGTATTATTAGCTATAGTCGCCATGTTATACATTAGATCCTCAGATCTTATTTATGTTATAACTGAAAGTTTATACCCCTTTATCATCCTCTCCCTGTTACTCCCACTTCCCAGCCCCTGGCAACCACCATTTTACTCTCTGTTAATGTAAGTCTGACTGTTTTAGTTTCCACATATAAGTGATACCATACAGTATTTGTCTTCCTGTCTGGCTTTTTTCACTTAGCATAATACCCTCCATGTTCATCTCTGTTGTCACAAAGAGCAGGATTTCCCTCTTCTTTTAAGGCTAAATAATATGTTGTTTGCAAATATTTCCTCCCATTTCATAGATTGCCTTTTGGATTTTTTTCTTTTTTTATTATTTATTATTATTATTTATGCCTATAGCACCTGGTTTTCCTAGGTGGTCTCCCAGTCTCCCATCCAAGTACTAACCAGGCCTGACCCTGCTTAGCTTTATCAGAAGAATTGTTTGAAAGTATCTTCTCCTATTCAGTTAGTTCTCTCTTTGTTTTGTTGATGGTTTCCTTTGTTGTGCAGAAGCTTTTTAGTTTGATGCAGTCTCACCTGTGTTATCTCTGGGGTGATGTGAAATCCGGCATCATCCCAGCGGCATGGGGGAGGAGGACTGTGGTGTTGTTTTTAGGAGACTGGCCATGCTAAGGAAGGCTGCAGCCCTGTGGAATGAAGGAGGTGAAAAGATAAGACAGAGTACGCCACAAGGGAGGAGTGGTTTTCAGCAAAGAGAGCTGTAACCACTTAGAAGTGGGAAGGTCTGTTTATATTTGGGTTGTGATGGGGGTGGGGTAAGGGGCGTCCTAGGTCCTGGACCGACAGCTGGCTGCTATATAACACTTTGCCTACTGCGCATGTGCTTAGCCAGAATTCAGTCTGTAACAATGAGATGCATGAACTTCCAGGCATAAACATAGTATTATAATGAAACTTAAATTGTGGGCAAATTAGGGCAGTACCTTCCGTGCAGGCGTCTGTAGCCGGATTAGGCCAGCTAAGATTATGACCCTCCTATCCTTTGTCTGTAGGGAGGCAGGAGGGATCCTCTGACTATCAACAGGGTGTTCTTTGGGCGGACTCTAGACTGGGCCCTTGTTCCTTTGTTCCTTGTCGCTCATGTCTGACTAGCTACTGAACACCTGTTTATTTTTTTCTTTCGTTGCCTTTGCTGCTGGTGTCAAATCCAAAAAATCATTGCCGAGGCCTATATCAAGGAGCATACTTTGTTTTCTTCTAGGAGTTCTGTGGTTTCAGATCTTAAATTTAAGTTTTTAATCCATTTTGAGATGACTTTTGTGTATGGTATAACATAGGGGTACATTCTTTTGCATGTAGATATCTAGTTTTCCCAACACTATTGAAGAAACTATTTTTCCCCGTTGTATATTCTTGGCTCCTTTGTCGAAAATTCATATGCATGAGTTTATTTCTGGGCTCTGTATTCTGTTCCATTCTTGACTCTGTCACACAGATTCTCTGATTCTTCCAATTAGCATGTCTCTCCCAGAGAGTGAGGAACATAATAGCTCCGTATGCTGTTCCCTGTCAGGGCCACTGGGAACAGGAGAACATTAAAATTGGTCGGGACAGTGGCTCTGCTCCGGATTAGACACCTCTGAAGTCTGACATCAGATATGGGTGATTTGTGATTTTATACCCAGAACATAAGAATAGGCTGCTTTATTATCCATCCATTCATTTATTCGACAAATTGTACTAGGCGACTACTGGGTGCTGGGCATGCAACACTGAACAAAACACTGTCCCTGCCTCAGGGACCTTGGCGTCTACTGGGGATTTTAACAAGCAAACAGGAAATTACGTAACAGAATAGAATGCAGTGGGAACACAGAGGAGAGGCACCTAACCGACTTTCAGTCCTTTGGAGTTTTGTGGCTATAAAATCCTTGATTCTTTTATGTATAAAAATAGGTTTTGGTACAACAGTAGCTAATTCTTAATGGATAGGGTGTAAAATCCTCACTCAGATGCTAACCTGGATCAACGGTAATGTAATGAGATCCCGCTGCGTCACAATGAGGAACCGCCACAGAGCACAGCCACCTCTATTCCGTATGGAGGGCCATTTGATGTCTAGTGTTATTATGATAAGGGCACAGGCTTTGAAGTCTGTCTTGAGTTCGCATTCCAGCCCCACTGTGTACATTTCTGTGAGTTATTTAACCACCCTGAGACTCAGTTTTGCATCTAAAACATTGGGGTAATAATAATCTACATCATAAAATACGTTGAGAAAATTAGATGTGAAACTGTGTAAAGTGCCTGGCATATGGTAGGCATTCAATGAATATTAGTTTTCTTTTTTTTCTTTGAATCTTTATCTGTCTGTGTCCTGCCTCTCTTTTCGTGTTAGAATAGCGTAATGAATCAACATGCATGAATAAAAAATACTCAAGTAATGTCTATTCTATATAATCACATTTGTCCAAGTGGAAATTTTAGTGAGAACGTGTTCATTTATTTTGGTCACAGTTAAATGGAAAAGACAAAGGCACCTCCCTGGACTCATCAAAAACGACCACCTTGATTTTAACTAAGAATAAAGAGACAATGCAGGTATTTCACCTAATACATATACATATATTTCAGTGATTTATTTTATTTGGTTTTGAGAAGAGGTATTATGTGATTTGGAGGAGTGACGACCCTCAGTCCACCCAGTTTCACCTTCTCAGATTCGTTCTGCTCAAGTGAACGTCCAAGCTAATTTGACACTCAGGCTATAAACCACTTGACCACTGTGGGGCGCAGCCCACAGGGCACCACAGGACAGAGGAAGCCCGCCCAGAGCTAAAAGCTTGCCATGGAGAATGCGGTCTTATTTCAACAAATATTTGTTAGGCAGCTCTTATTTTGTAACTCCCTGGCACGATTTCAGGTTAAACAGTGATAGTGAATAATGTAGCAGTTCTCAACCTTAGGTGATGTTAACAAACATGGGGGTGCCACCGTCGGTGACGAAGTATGCCTCACATGCAGTGTGACCAGTGATTGTTCAATGAGGAGGTTTGTGAATTACTTGACTTTTAAACACGATAGGTTAAAATGAATTCATATCTACCCCTCTGACATTGTTCTTGCTTGTTTGCACTTGGTGAGATAGCTAGTAAGCTGTTGCTTTAAATAGCCCTGGGGACATCGGTGGGAGGGCTCTGCTCACACGTGTCCAGGTAAAGGCTGAAAGCCACTGCATGAACATAGGTATACTAGATATAGAACGCACAGTTCTCCCAAGGTGAAGTCCCTGCTTTCTTAAATCTGTCGCTTTGGATTTCTCGGTTTGATGTTCTCATTTACCCACCAGTATCCTTTGAGGACTGTGAGTCGTGATCCCTCCCTTAAAGCAGTGATCCTCAACGAGGGGTGACAAGATAGTCCAACCACAATGATGTAACAGAAACTGAAAAGCAGTGAAAAGAGAGGTTTAAAGTCAAATCAAAGAGAGTTTCTTTCCCGACAGACTAATAAGTGGCGAACTTGTCCTTTTTCCTCATTCAGCATTCATTGGAAGATGTCTATGAGTTGCTAACACCATATCTCACAACTGAAACTTGCTGTAACATGTAGTGAGGGATTATTTAAACTCAACGTACTGGATGAATGCCATCTAAACCTCTAACAGAGATGTAGGCATTTAACTTCCATGGCATGTCAGATAAGAAGAGTTGAAAAAAATGGAGTAGTCTCCCACCTTGGTCGATCAAGTTCTTCTCTTCCTTTATGTAATATTTCTAGACAGCTTATAAAATGCAGTCCCTGGACTTCTCAGGGCAATTAAGATATTGCCTATGGACTGCTGGTGATCTGAGGCTCTAGGGCAAATGCTTGCTTGATTCGCCTCCATCCTGTGACAACAATCAGCTACTTTGGTGTTTGAGGGAAATGCAACTACTTCTCACTAACTCCTGTAAAACCAACCCAAACCCTTATAGTAACTTTAGAAATTGCGACATAAAGTAAGTTCAACTTCTGTATCTTGTTTACACAGAGAGAGAAGCCAGGATTCATAGTATCATGCTCCTCAAAGAACAGCACCAACACCAGCCAAGATCCAGCTGCAGATGTGAAGCCAAACTGGTCCAGGAGCAGGTTTCTTGGCGCAAAGAAGGGCCGCTCCACCATGACAGTGTACCCTTCCTTGCACATATACACATACCCGTAGGGGGCCTGGGCCACGCCACACAGAGATGTAGGCATTTAGCTTCCTTGATGTGCTTTGGGTTAAACACACTCTGTAACGAGGGGAGTAGTGTGCTTGAGAGCTACGGTCCTCTGTGTTGTGATAAACTGTGTTGTGCGTTCATCGTGCACTGACCTTACACTGTGTGCTCACACTGTGTGCGTGCCTTCGAGGTGCGTACTTCACAAATTCAATTGCTTTTTCATAGAGTGAAATTTTATTATGACATAAAGAAAAGCTTCTTTTATCAGAAATCGAAGTCACGGAACTACAGCACAGATACACCTCATCTTAACCGATAGTCTCTCTAAAATTATGTGCGAATCCATTTGAAAAGATCAAACTGTTTTACACATATTCTGGGAGTGCGCTATGTTAAAAATGTCTGTGTCAGAGCTTTCTAGCGACAAATGATCAGTCAGACTGTGGTATGTCAGGTCTGCTCAGGGTGAGGTGTTCCCACATACAGGAAACAATTCCTGTACTACCCAGAATTTGATGTTGCATATATTATGTTCAACACAGTTATATAAGTTTTTTAACCCATTGATTAAAATTCATTCTCTCTAATCAGTTGTTTCCTTTGATTGGTTCGCCGCATAATCTATGTGAACAGATGTTTTATATTTTATTTCCCTCACAAGCACTGTCTGCCATCTACAGCCCGCCATGTCAACATGCTAGAGTCAAGTTAAAGAAGCATCACGCCGGTTCACGCCAGGCCTCCTATTTTGACTTTACCGTCTTCCTCTCACATTGGACTGAAAGTTTCCTAGTATGTTTTTCATTACCACTTTTACACTCTT